ATTTGTCCTCACATGCATATTTATTGGTTCCACTGGAGAGTAAGGCAGTTTATACACAGAATTTGGGACTCTCACTCTGTAGTTTTCTCCATTCTTGGATTTCTTTAATAACTTTTCAGTTGTAGTGGACATCCTGAACTCTGTCTTGTGGTTCTCTAGGTCACTTGGACTGTGAGAAGTTATGTATGGGAGCTGGCTGGCCCTGGCATGTGAAAGACTACCTTTTCCTAACGCCATGTTCATGAACTTGTCTATAGTAGAAGTATTTATACCATGGAAATTGGCAAATGCTGTGAATTAGGTTTTAATTTATTTATTTTCCTCAAGATCCAGTTGTTAAATATATGACAGTTGCAGCACTGGTTCTAGTTTCTCCAGAGTTTTATTTATTGCTTTGGTCTAGGGGTAGCCATCAGGCAAAAATTCTCAGGGAAGGAAAAACTCACCAAGTATTGCTCCCTTCTTCCAAGTGTCAACTCCTTTTCAACTTCTGATTACTTATGATTACTTCCCAGTGTATTTGGCTTATTGTATTATATATTATGTTCAAAGTTTATTATTATCATCTTCATTAGGATTGATCCGATAGAAATTTCTTCACCATTCCCAGAACTGGTCCTAGTACTTTTTTTTTTTTTGGCTTGTAGTAAAGTGAGAAAAATTATGAAAATGCCATGGATTTTTCACACAGGTAAAAATGTATAACTTAAACAACAGTTCTTGTTCTGAGAGTGTATTCATGAAATTTATGTGTGTGGTTTGTTTGTTTAGCATCTTTATTTGTCAAAAATAAAAATTAGCGACTGTAATGGGTTGAGTAGTGTCCCCCCAAATTCATCTGTTCAGATCCTAAATATGTGACCTTATTTAGATAGTATGACTTTTGCAGAAGGAATTACTTAAAAGATTTAGAGATGATATCATCCTGGGAAATCCATAAAAGGGTGGGCCTTACATCCAATGACTGGTGCCAATGACTGGTGTCTTTATAAGAGAACAGAAAGGGAGATGTGGTCACACAGAGAAACAGAGAAGATAATTTGAAAACAGGCACAGACTGGAGTGATAAATCAAGGAATACCAAGAATCACCAGAAGCTGGAAGAGGCAAGGAAGGGCTCTCCTCCAGAACCTTTGGAGGGAGTATGGTCCTACCAGCACTTTGATTTCAGACTTCTGGCCTTCAGAGCTGTGAGACAATCAATTGCTATTGTTTTAAGCAACCAAATTTATATGACTGTAAGCTCATGGGTTCCCATCTGTCTACGTAGTCAATGTATAGATACATGCTTTTGAAGACATGTGTATTGGAGTGTAGCACTTGTACCTCACTAGGCAGGAGCAGAGAGTATTAGATTTTCATGGAAAGACCGAACAGGATGGTAGTTGAAATAGAAGTGGCACAATGTGGGCAGCATTTTAAATGCCTTCTCTGTCACAGTCACTGAATATATATTGAGACCAGAATACTTAAAACACACAACATAATTCACTTTTTTTTTTTTTAGGTATGGAAGGAATTTAATTCAAGAACACAATGGCCATATATTTAAAACTCACAGATAACATCATATCAATAATGGAAAACTAAAAACGTTTTCTCTAAGATCAGAATTAAGGCAAGTGTGCGCACGCTTGCCATTTCTCTTGAACATACTACTGAAAGTGCAGAGCAATTAAGCAAGAAAAAGAAGTAAAAGTCAACTAAATTAAAATGGAAAAAGTAAAATAGTCTGTTTGCAAATTACAAAATCTTATATGTAGAAAAATCCTAAAGATGGCACAAAAAATTGTTAGAATAAATTAATTTATTAGAGTTATGTGATAGAAAATCAATGCAACAAAACAGTTGCATTTCAGTTTTATTTTATTTAATGATGCCTCAGTGACTATTCCTTCTGTCAGATTGGTGCCTCAGTGATTGGTCCTCCTCTGGGATGGGTATTGCAGTGCCTGGTCCTCCTCTATGATGGTACCCCAGTGACTAGTTCTTCTCTGATATGGGTGTCCCTGTGACTAGCCCTCCTCTGTAATGAGTGCTCCAGTGCCTAGTCTTCTTCTGTGATGGGTGCTCCAGTAACTGGCACTCCTTTATAATGGGTGCCTCAAGACAGGCACTCCTCTGTGATTATTGCCCCAGTGACTGGTCCTACTCTGTGACCCATGGCCCAGTGTATGGCCCTGCTCCATAACTTGTCCACATGTGACTATCTCTATTTTATTGTGGGTACTCCAGTGACTGGCTGTCCTCTGGGATGAGTGCCTCAGTGACTGACCCTCCTCTGGAATGGGTGCTTACTAAATGTCATGAAATATGTAATTCAATATTCACTTTTTTTGTAGTTGCATGCTTCTGATATTCTAGGCAGAAGTTCTCCTATATATATATATATATATATATAACTTTCTCCTGTTTACTCACCCTGTCTGTGTGGTATTTCATTATGGCAACCCTAGGAAACTAATACAGCAACCTTATGCTAGTTTATAACATTTCTTTCTGTCAATGTACCAGTTCATTAAATCTAATGGACAATTATGCAATCAAATGTACACATAAAAATGTGTACGTATGCAGAAAGGAGTGTGTGTAGCTATGTGCCTACATACACACTTGCTTTATATACAACTTACATGTTGCTTTGGTGGATGAAAATACTGTACCTAGGATAAGCAATCTAAGTGCTGGTCTTGGCTCTGCAATTGACTCACTATAACTTAAGTGTGAGCTATACTTTTTCTTTAGTCTTGTCTCTCCTTCTGTACAATGAGATGGTTATCTTTGTGGGTGATTTTGGTTCAGTGACTGTAAGCTCATGGGTTCCCATCTGTCTACGTAGTCAATGTATAGATACATGCTTTTGAAGACATGTGTATTGGAGTGTAGCACTTGTACCTCACTAGGCAGGAGCAGAGAGTATTAGATTTTCATGGAAAGACCTAACAGGATGGTAGTTGAAATAGAAGTGGCACAATGTGGGCAGCATTTTAAATGCCTTCTCTGTCACAGTCACTGAATATATATTGAGACCAGAATACTTAAAACACACAACATAATTCACTTTTTTTTTTTTAGGTATGGAAGGAATTTAATTCAAGAACACAATGGCCATATATTTAAAACTCACAGATAACATCATATCAATAATGGAAAACTAAAAACGTTTTCTCTAAGATCAGAATTAAGGCAAGTGTGCGCACGCTTGCCATTTCTCTTGAACATACTACTGAAAGTGCAGAGCAATTAAGCAAGAAAAAGAAGTAAAAGTCAACTCAATTAAAATGGAAAAAGTAAAATAGTCTGTTTGCAAATTACAAAATCTTATATGTAGAAAAATCCTAAAGATGGCACAAAAAATTGTTAGAATAAATTAATTTATTAGAGTTATGTGATAGCAAATCAATGCAACAAAACAGTTGCATTTCAGTTTTATTTTATT